GATACAAAAATTAGCTGACACACGGTGGCGGGCGCCCGTAATCCCAGCTACTCCAGGGGCTGAGGCAGGAGAATCGCTTGAACCCGGGAGGCGGAGCTTGCAGTGAGCCAAGATCGCACCACTACACTCCACCCTAGGCAACAGAGGGAGACGACGTCTCAAAAGAAAAAAGAAAAAAAAAAAAAAAAGCAAACCCTGGGAAAGCGAGAAAGCACATTGAGCATTTAGAATGGAAAGAAACGGCGCTATTAGTGCTTCAAAAACGTAACTGCCCAAGGTCCCGTGTAACCACAGGATATTAAAATCTGCCTTTTCCCTTTCTTGGAGTGGTCCTTGAAGAGGGCTATCAGGAAGTTCAAATTTCTTCTGTTTTCGTGCAAAGCGTTCGTTTGAAGTTTGCCTTCTACGTCTCCAAACTGAGCTTCTGATATTCCAGGCCGAACATGCTCCTTCCTCAGCTTTCTCCATCTCAGTAAATATCGGGAAACTTGGTTACGCCAAAAACCTTGGTGCTGTCTTCTCACTCTCCACATCAGCACATAGCTTTCTATTGGCTCCACCTCAGAATCCTAGGACTTATGCACTTGCTCTGCTACCACCCTTGTCCCAGCCTCCAGCCCCTCCCACCTGGCTTATTGGTAGGCTCTCCTAGATGCCTCTTTCTTGCTTCTCTGTCCTTACTCCAACATCCTTTACTCCCAGCAGCCCCAGTATCCTTCTAAGACATGAGTATAGAGCATGTCTGTCTTTTCTGAAAACTTCCAGCCTCTACATCTCACCCAGAGGATAAACAAAGTCAATGCAAAAACTCTAAGGCCCTTGGAGACCCGGCCCCTTTACCTTTCTAACCTCATCTGCTACTTGCCTGTTCCCTCCTATGCAGTCTCACCATGTCCTTGCTGTTGCCCAGTGGGCCCATTTCCAACCTTTGCATTTACGTTTGCGTTTTGTCCGCAAACTTTTCCCAGATAGTCCAGTGGCTGGCTTTCTCCTTCTTTTTGACCTTTAATCAAATGGCACCTTCTTATTGAGGCTTCCTCTGACTACCCTATTTGTAATTGCAACCCTTTCTCTGTTTCGTTTTGTTCTTTCATTTCACTTGGCACCATCTAACATAGTATAGAGTTTATTTGCTTATTGCTTGCCTTCCTCCATTAGGATATAAACTTCATGAGTTCAGGTTTTTGTTTGTTTATTTGTGTTTTCTCTAATTTTCCTATTGCTTCATCTCCAGGGGCCTGGAGCAGTATCTAGCACATAGTAGACACTCAGTAAATATTTGATGAGTCAGTGGTATTATATTTTGTTTCTTAAGTATATGCAAAGCATTTTCAATTACTTACTGTTGTGTTGGATCAATGTTCAAGAAAGATGTGTTATGTTTAATTTATGGTACACCAGCACATATCCCAGTTTGTAATAGGCAGCCCTATCTAATTTAATAGCTCTGGAAGGCCTCACCAGCTTTTGTTCATAATGATGATGTTAAAGTATCTAAAAATGAAGATTAATGGTTATACAGCATATTTTGCTAAGAATATATGGAAGTAAATAGTGTATTTTAGAAAGGATATTAAAAGTACCATGGTTGATCAAATAAGACTGCCAGGGCCGGGCGCAGTGGCTCTAGCCTGTAATCCCAGCACTTTGGGAGGCTGAGACGGGCGGATCATAAGGTCAGGAAATCGAGACCATCCTGGCTAACACGGTGAAACCCCGTCTCTACTAAAAAATACAAAAAACTAGCCGGGCGAGGTGGCGGGCGCCTGTAGTCCCAGCTACTCGGGAGGCTGAGGCAGGAGAATGGTGTGAACCCGGGAGGTAGAGCTTGCAGTGAGCCGAGATGGCGCCACTGCACTCCAGCCTGGGTGACAGAGCGAGACTCCATCTCAAAAAAAAAAAAAAAAAAAAAAAAAAGACTGCCACCATCTCAAAAACTTAGTTATTTTCTCAGACTTGTTATTTGTACCCTTTCAGTAGCTCCTCATTACTGTTCTGGAAATTGAACCTAAATACAACTGTGCACATATCTTTAAAAAAAAAGTGATGTAAGAATAATTTCTGCCAGAAAATAATGATTGCTCCTTTTTTTTTTTTTTTGACCACCTATTATGTGACAAGATTTGGCCCTTTGCATGTGTTGATTTTAATTCTTACAGCAATTCTTAGATATTACTATCTCTGTTTTTCAGATAAAGAAAAGCAAGGTCCAGAGAAATATAATTACTAACTCTGGTCACAGTTGGCTTTGGTTAGAACTTAGGCCTGTGCAACCTCAAAGTTCATCTTCCCTCCACCGCTGCACAATCTTTTCCTCTGATCAAAGTGCTAATGAAGCAGTCTTTAAACTTTATTAACACATTTGACAAGAATCTTTTGCCCTCCTGTTTTGGGCACAGTACTTTGTTTGGGAAGGCATTGGATTCCATAAGCAGGTGCTGATTTTAATATATTTCTCAATCACCACCCCACCTTTTATACTTGTCTGAGTTGTCTTATTTGAAAATATGAATGGGTTTTCTTTACTATGAGAGTTAGTAGTAAGACGAAACAGTCATGAAGGTATTTAATTATTTATTTGTAAGCAAAGCCTCCTGTATTAATCCTAAGTGTACTAGGGTAAATCTTGAACAGTTTGAAAGAGATGACACTTTTAAAGTTTTTTTGCACAGTGTGTTTTCATTATTGAAAATTCAGAAAAGCAAAACGAAAACAAAACTATCATAAAAGTCATCACCAAGGGATAACCACTGTTAATATTTTGGCTTATGTTCTTGTAAGTATGTGGTCGGGAGTGGTATATGAATGTACATTTAAAGTAAAATTTTAATTTCTGGGATTTTGAACTTCTGGGCACATGTGTGGAAGAGTTGGCAGAAGGCCTTTTTCCTAGTATCCCTACACTCATCACCTCTGCTGGAAGCCTGGGTGCAGGAAAGCTACCAAATTTATCCCTGGCCTTTACATAGTCTGGGTTTTTTCCTCAGTTCCTTGTATTTAGCTCTAATTTATAAGACTACTAAGCAGTTCTATCTTTTCTAGCTTTGTCAATCATGTTGTACCTTACAGTAGAGAGAAATCTTAATAAGGAAAAATAACTTGAAGAGAGCAACTGCACAGTCTATAGGTAACCTAGATACAATTTCTTAATTAAAATTTAAAAATCCTCAGCCTTTCATTCAACACAAATGTCGTGAGTCGTTGCTGAGGTGAATTTGGTTGGGTCCCAGCCAGGAGAGCACCCATCTAACAGAGAAAGCAGATACGTAAACAGTAAAACATAATAATTATTAGAACAGAAGAATGACTAGGTGACATTTTGGAGCAAAAGAGATGACAATCAGGGGAAGCTAACAGTGCCTTTTGAATTGGGCTTGAAGGAATAATAGGCATTTACCAGGGGGCCTTTAAGGTACATGGGCTATTCTTTTACCTGGCCCTAGATGACTTCACTTCCTGTTTCACAGAAAAAAAATAACACTATGTGGGAACTCTTCTCCCTTCAAATATATCTGTATTTAAACCTCTGCGTCCTTCTTTCTAGATTCAAAAGAGACTTCTCTCTATTCAAGGCTGATTTCTTCACCTGTATGCTATTCATTATCCCATTTGTATTGCCAAACAACTTAAGTCTTAAACCCTTAACACCAACAGTTCTCAAAGTCTGGTTGGAGTCCCTAATGCTCTTTCAGGAGATTTATAAGGTCAAAATCATGTATAGTTAAAAGATTCATTCAGAGTGCAATGGATTTTAATGTTCCAAGTTAATTTATACAGCTTCAGATTCCACATTGCAGCTTACCTTTAGGAAGTTATTTCTTTCAAATTTTAGTGTAGTATCAAAGAGAAATATCTACTAGTTTGTGAAAAGGCTATTAAAATACACCTTTCTTTGTAACTATATGTCTGTGTGAAGCTGGATTTTCTTCGTATACATCAGCCAAAACAATATACTGCAGTGGGTTGAGTGCAGAAGCAGATATAAGAATTTGGCCCTCTTCTATTAAGTTAAATATTGAAGAGATTAACAAAACCTTAAAACAATGTTACTCTTCTATTTTTGAGGAAAAGGTAGTTATTTTTATTAAGATATATATGCTAACATGTATATTTATGATTATTTTAAATGAATTAATAAGTAATTTTTAAATTTCTCAGCATCAATTTAATATGGTAAATATTGGTAGATATAACCAACATAAACAAAAGCCCTTTGGGGTCTACAGTCGTTTTTAAGAGGGTAAAAGGTCCTGAGACCAAATTTGAAAACTGCTATTCTCTTGCATGCTGTCCTCCCTCTCTCTCCCTACCCCTCCCCCCTTGTTTTCCCTCTGCTCACACTCCTCTCTCTTTCTCCTTCCCTTCATAATGAGACTTCTTGGAAAATCTGTTTTTGCCATTCACTCACTTTTTCACTATAGCTGTTCCCAAGTCACCAATGGCCTTCTGATTTCAGAGTCTAACATCTCCATCAGTGTCTATTTGACCTCTCTGAGTCTTTTGTACCAACCTGCCGCCTTTTCTAGAAGTCTCTGGTATGCTACTGTCCTGTTTTTTTTTCTTGCCTTCATGACTAAGCAGTATTTTTTAAAATTCTTCTTTCACATCATTCCTTTCCATTCTAAGCATTCCTAATAGGCAACTTCATTTTATTGTTGTTTCAACCGTATATATGTTGCTCTTAATTTGTATGAGGGCATTTCAAAAAGTTTGTGGAAAAATTGAATTAAAAGATAAAAAATGTAAACTTTGACTCAGCGCTATGGCTCATCCCTGTAATCCCAGCACTTTGGGAGGCCAAGGTGGGCAGATCACCTGAGGTCAGGAGTTCAAGATCAGCCTGGCCAACATGGTGAAACCCCATCTCTACCAAAAATACAAAAATTAGCTGGGTGTTGTGGTGCATACCTGTAATCCCAGCTACTTGGGAGGCTGAGGCAGGAGAATCGCTTAAACCTGGGAGGCAGAGGTTGCAGTAAGCAAAGATTGCATCACTGCACTATAACCTGGATGACAGAGCGAGACTCAGAAAACAAAAAACTGTAAACTTTATTTCTGAACATAAGCTCCATGAAGTTCAAGGCACTTTTGTAAGTGATAACACCAGCCATTTGGGCCATCCCTAAAGAACTGAGAGTCCTGGGAATTTAACCATGTCAATAAAGTCTTTTTACATTATTAACTGAAGAAAAATGGGTGCCCTATGAAGAGTTTTCAAGATTAGGAAACAGAAGTCAGAAGGAGACAAATCAGGACTGTAAAGTGGATGCCTGATGATTTCCAGTTGATACTCACAGAATTGCCCTTATTTGATGAAAGAAAAGAGGAGGGGCATTGTTGTGATGGAGAAGGACTCTATGGTGAAGCTTTCCCAGGCGTTTTTCTGCTAAACATTTGACTAAAGCTTTAGCAGAAAAGCTTTAGTTTAGAAACATTTAGAAAAGCTACTGTTTCTCAAAAACACTCTCTAATAAGCAGATGTTACCATTCTTTTTACCTCCAGAAAGTCAACAAGCAAAAATACCTTGAGCATCCCAAAAAGCTGTGGTCATGCCCTTGCTTTTGACTGTCTGCATTTGCTTTGATTGGACCGCTGCCGTTCTGGGGGAGCCATTGCTTTGATTGTGCTTTAAGATCATACTTGTAAAGTCATGTTTCATCTCCTGTTACAATTTTTTGAGGAAATGCTTTAGGATCTTGATCCCACTTGTTTAAAATTTCCATTGAAAGCTCTGCTGTCATCTGCAGCTGATCTGGGTGCAACAGTTTGGGCAGCCATCAAGTGGAAAATTTGCTCAACTTTTATTTTCAGTCAGAATTGTATAGGCTGAATTAGTTGTCTATGGTGTTCGCTGTTGGTTCTGCTATTAATTATAGGTACTCTTCATTTAGGGCACGAACCAGGTGAATGTTTTCCTCAAAAATTGATGTGGATGGTCTGCTGCAGCAGGCTTCATCTTCAACATCATCTCATCCCTTAAAATGAGTTACTGATTTGTATGCTGCTGATTTTCTTGGGGGCATCGTCCCCATCAATAAAGCATCAGTGATTTCACCATTCTTCCAACCAACCTCCATATAAATGTGGTGTTTTTTCTTGCTTCACTTTTAGCAGAATTCATGTTGCTGTGGTAGAGGTTCTTTTCAAACTGTCTTACTCTTCTTAGTGCCTCAAACTAGATCCTGTTTAGACATGAATGATAAGTTAGTGTGAGTTTCTTTTGGAAATATGTTTTGCAAAAAAAAAATTTGAAATCCATGCATGGTTTTTGCATGATATGCATTTTCCATGAACTTTTTGAAAACCCCTCATATATGAGAATACTTACATAGTGAGCATTCTTTGCTGAAACCTCTCTCCTAAGCTCCATATCGCATATATAAGTACTTGGTATGAAGGCCCCTAGATGGTGCCAAAGGTAGATATTTCACATTTAACATGAGTCAAAAAATAAAAATAAAAACAAACAAACAAAAAAAACCATCTTTGTTCTATCTCCCTTTCTTGTAATTGGTCATCTCTAGTGAAATTGTTTTGATTTGGCCTCCTAAATGTTTTCATGTTTTACTTCTCCATTCCCATACCCTATACTTTTTCCAAGCTCTCATTTCTGCTCACCTGGATTATTGCAGAAGTTTTCAAACTAATTTTCTTGCCTCAATATACATCCCTTTAATTTTTATCCAGAGGAATCCACTTAACCATGTAAAATTATTTAACATCCCTCCTAAAAATCCTGAAGTGGCTCTCCTGTAACTTTTAGTTTATAAGTTCAAACTCTTTGTCTTAGCATATGAGGTACATGGTGATCTGGCCCTGCTACCTTTCCACCCTCATCTCTTCTCACTTAATCACAGGCATCCTATGGTGCAGCCATAGCAAGCTCTTTGCCTGAGACACACGTGCTCCCACCTTTTCCCATGCTATTCCCTCTGCCTGGAATTTTCTTTTGGGCTTATTCTCATTCCCTTTCATTCATCCTTCCAACCTCCCACTCCAGGCAAATCTGTCTTGATATCGCTCTCCAGACTGCCTCTGCTTGATGCCCTTTTTCTGGGCCCCATAACACTCTTGCAGCTTTTATCACTCCCTGTCACTGTTTGTATCCCATAGTATACTGAACAGCTTGGAAACAAAGATTTTCTCTTCTCTGTGCTCCCATTTGTTAGTACAAAGATTGACATAAATATTTGCTGAATGTATTCATGAATGAAAGGAAAGGAATAGTCTTTCTGAAAAGGAGAATGGTATGAACAATGCATTGTGTTATAAAAGCAGAGTCGTATGGCATGGATTTTGGAGTCAGACATAAGTGTAAGTCCTGGATCTTTCACTACCACCTTTGTAAAATAGAGATGATAAAACCGTACTGGGAAATAATTTAGTTACTGAACAACACCATTATCTACAGTGTGCAAGTCACTAGGTATATATTCATGAATAAAATTAGCATGGTCCTGAACTCATGGATCTTAAAATCTAATATGGGAGACAGTAAACAAGTAAACAAATATATGATTACAAATACATTGTGCAATGATGAGAGATAATTAGGTGAAGGGCAGCTAGACCTATTTAGATGTGGTCAAAGAAGTCCAAAGAGAGGAAGTGAATACTAACGTAAAAGCCTATGATACAGAGAAGCTTTCGCTTTTTACTCTTTGATAGTTTTAGAATGTTGTTCCATATGAACACATTATTTACTCTAAAATTGTATTTTTAAAATATATATAGGGAAGCAAAAATAAGTGACATAAGAATATCTGAGTCTATTTGTCTTAATTGGAAGGAAAGATCATTTCCTATTGAGAATGAGGTACATGCAGAACAAATAAAATCCACATAGAAAGAAGCAAAGATATGAAATAGTCACTAAGGACAATGAGAGGAGACAAGTGGAAGGATTAATGGCAGTGTTAGGCCATTAATGTGGAAAGGGGGTTACCATAAATTTGTATTCACATCAGCAACTCTGGTGTACAAGTAAAATTGTTAGATTTATCCCTAGCTGCAGCTCTCCAGTGTGGAGTAGCAGAAGAAAAGGGGGACTACAGAAATAAAGATTCTGTCTAGAGAGTGACTGAAGTGGTGAAACACAGGTTTTGGCATAGTAGCAAATGAACTGTGGTCAGGCAGATCTCATGGACTCAAAAAATGTGCAGAGGTCAAGGAAAAGCAAGCTATGTGAACAGTGGGTGGGTGGACCCTATCTGTTAATGCTACACAAATCATTTCAGTACTTTTTTTTTCTTCTACCAAAGAACATTGCATAAATTTTTAATCGTAAATGAGTACTGATTGAGCAACATATATTAAATTGAAAGGTAAATGTTTTTATTAATAGATTTGATTTCTGAATATGCTAATTCTGATAGTTTATTGATATTACTGTTAAAAAGAATTGCTCTGGTAAGTGTTTTGCCCCTTTCTATAAATTATACTTGGAAAATATCAATGTCAGAAAAAAGTCCTCCGATTTTTATTGCTATTAATAGGTGGAAAAAGGAAGGAAACCTAGAGGATAATTGGACAAATGAATTACAATTTTAGTTTCATCTTAGGGTATCAGTGACTTGACTTTGGAATGTTTCTTTATTATGGTATAATCAGTTGCTGGCATTTCATATGATATAGCAAAGTGTGATGTAGAAGCTTACAGATGTCATCTCTAAAAGTACTATAAAATTTTAATGAGATTTTTCCATATTTTAGGAATAGAAGATGAACAAACCCATAACACCATCAACATATGTGCGCTGCCTCAATGTTGGACTGATTAGGAAGCTGTCAGATTTTATTGATCCTCAAGAAGGATGGAAGAAGTTAGCTGTAGCTATTAAGAAACCATCTGGTGATGATAGATACAATCAGTTTCACATAAGGTAACAGATAAAATTCTTGGTATTTGTAAATTCTTACATCACAATATGGAATGATTAATTGGTATAAGTACTGTCTAATGTGGCAGTTTAGAAAGTAAACCTCTATACTGTGGAGGAGACATTGGTAGTAAGTAACCTCTTTTTGGTTGTTCCTTTTGCAATTGTGTCTTCTTTCTCCCATATGTCAATAGGGCTAATATTGTGATCTCTCAAATAAGCTTTCTGAGTTAGAATCAATATTCCCACCTTTGCTGTGGTTCCCAGTTTGGCAAGCCAAGTGAAGTTCAGTCTGCCTCACACCTCTCATTTCCAGATTGAAGGAAAATAAGAATGTTATAAGAATGTCTAGTAAAAATCTAGAGCTTAAACTTCAAAGTGTGTAAATCTCTAATGCACTCTAACAGTGTATTTTGGGAGTTTTTCAATTTGACATTTTAAAGTTGTTGCTTACAAGTGTACACTTCTGTGAACAGAATTCTTAAATCTTAGCCAGGATTTCTCAGTGCTATCATCAGATAATTTCAATTTTTCCTCTTTACTCATCTCTGCTCGATTTAGTGTAAAATATGCATGCAGATTTTATTTTTGTTAGTCATTGCATTTAAAACCGATGTCAAAATGTTTCTTTGGTAGCAAAAGGAAAAGAAGACTCTTTGTTATTTTCAGCATTAACCTCAGAAAGAACCTAATAGCCTTAGCTCCCTTGCAGGAAATGTTTCTCATAAGAAAAGCGAACATGTTAAATTACTTGAAAGAAGCTTAAGTTTAAACTGTGTTAAGCCAATGTTTAAAGATAATTTTTTAATATTACTGTTAAAAACTTATGGAAGATAATTGGGGCAGTGGTGGCAGGAAGATAAAGCTCTTCTTTTTTTTTTTTTCCTTTTTTCAAGACTCACTCCTGTGACAGAAAAAGCTCTTCTTTACAGAATACCTGCATATAATTGTGAAAAGAATGGTAGAATGAGAAAAATACCTATTTATAACCACCAATGAGTAACTGATTCTTGCAAGCTCATCACTGAACCTAAAAAGCATAAGGTGAAAGGTGATTGTTCTCATGCATATGAGCAGGATATGCACAAGATTTTAAAGTATTATAGGCTGGGCACAGTGGCTCATGCCTGTCATCCTAACACTTGAGGAGGCCGAGTTGGGCAGATTGCTTGAGCCCAGGAGTTCAAGACCAGCCTGGGCAACATGGTAAAATCCCATCTCTACAAAAAATTAGCTGGGCGTGGTAGTGCACGCCTGTAGTCCCGGCTACTTGGGAGGTTGAGGTGGGAGGATCACCTGAGCCCAGGAAGTGAAGGCTGCAGTGAGCCATGATCATGCCACTGCACTCCAGCCTGAGTGACAGAGCAAGACTCCCTCAATAGATAGATAAAAAGTATTGTACACAAATTACTTGTGAAGTATGAAAGGGAAGGATACATTTTTAATGAGGAAATCTGAAGTACACTTCCTTTACCATGTGATCAAATTTTAGCACCAATAATAATGGTACAAAATGCCAATATGTACCCCTGGATGTGATACAATGGGAAGGGCACATTATACCTTTGTAGTATTTCTACCAAAATGTTTCATCGGAATTTAATCATGAGAAAGTAGTCGGATACATCTAGGCTGTTAGACTCATTCTATGACATCTGGCCCATATTCTAAAATACACTCCCACAGACATAGATTGAAAGAGAGCATGCACAAGAGCCCAGATATGGCACAATTTTATCAGTTATTCAATTGGTGAATCTAGGTGAATGGTTGTTCATTCTATCATTTTTTCAACTTTTCTGTAAGTTTGAAATTTTTAAAAATCTTTAGAGGAAAAAGAAAAAAACAATATTGGTTAAATTTTTAAATGTTAACTTTTCAAAACTAATTTTTAATTTTAAAGAAATGGAATGGAAAGAAATGGGATGAAAGCCGACTTTGTGGTTTTTTTTCAATTTAATTGAATTACAGTTAAGATTGAAGGAATAATTTCCTAAGTTTTTGTGTATTCTGTTTCTTTCATTAAGCAGGCAGATTTATTAAAAATTATATAGCTATCAGAGTCTTAAGTTATGTGGGAAGTAATATAACTAAGTAGATTGAGAATACACTCTTATGTCAAATGAGATCTGAATTTGGACCTCAACTTGGATACATCATATTGGCTGTGTGGCTATGGGCTTGTTAGTCTACCTCTCCAAGCCTCGCTTTTTCACTAGTAAATTCGTATGATAATCATAATATCTTTGAACATGCTCATGTGTGTACATCCTGTAAACCACTAAGTAAATACCCCGTAAGTACCCAGTAGATTATTATCATCATCTTTGGCATCTTTTTTTCTCCTATTTTTCCTGTCTCTTTGTAATTCTTGCTGGTTCTCTTGTTGTCCCATTTCTTTAATGTTATAGGAGACGCTGTAGGCAAAACAGGGGCAGGGGAGATTAACACCTGTTTTCATATGACCTCAGTTTATAAATGCTATTGTTTGAATGTGTCCCCAAAAGTTCATGTGTTAGAAACTTAATATACCCATTGCAAAAGGGTTGAGAGGTGGGACCTTTAAAGGGCAGTTGGTCATGAGGGCTCTGCCCTTATGAGTGGATTAATGTTGTCATGGCAGGAGTGGGTTAGTTATCTTGGGAGTGGGTTTCTGATAAAAAGGTAAGTTAGGCCCTATTTTTCCTTCTCTCTCTCTCTCTCTCTCTCTCTCTCTCTTTTCTTTCTCTCTCACATGCACGTGTGCATGCTCTTTGCCCTTCTGCCCTTCCACCATGAGATGATGTAGCAAGAAGGCCCTAACCAGATGCAGCCTCTCGATCTTGGACTTCCCAGCCTCCAGAACCGTGAGCCAAATTAACTATTGTTTATAAATTACCCTGTCTGTGGTATTCTATTATTGCACTACAAAATGAACTAAGACAATAGACTAATTTTGTTTCTTTGTTACTTACTTTTAAGGAGATTTGAAGCATTACTTCAAACTGGAAAAAGTCCCACTTCTGAATTACTGTTTGACTGGGGCACCACAAATTGCACAGTTGGTGATCTTGTGGATCTTTTGATCCAAAATGAATTTTTTGCTCCTGCGAGTCTTTTGCTCCCAGGTAAACTGATTGTGACCAGGGTGTCCACAATTAGGGTGGAAAGACAAATGGCCAAAATAGAAATGTTTCTTCTTACTCTTACTTTTTCCTCCTGGTAGATGAAGTTTACATTTGAGAGTCCCTTTCTTTCTTTCAGCACTTCTCAACTCTTTAAAAAGCAGTACCGACAAAGGACACTGTGGACCCTGCTACTAAGGTGATAGAAGCTTTGTAAGAGTCAGATAGTTTTGTGCCAATAGGAAGTTTAGAAGGAAAGAATTCACACATCTGGCTTAGGCTGTAAGAAAGTAATTATTCTTTTGAGTTCTTGCTTTTTTTCATCTTCAACTTCTACCCTGATGAGATTCTATGATCATAATTTTAAAAAATTGTATTCTGATGTGTTAGTGTCTAGTTGCCTTCCTTATAACCTTTCTTTTCTTCCTTTGATGCCTTTCACACTAGTGGTTCTGAACCTTTATCATGCATAAGAATCACTTAGGTTCTGGTTAAACATGTAGATTCCTAGGGTCTGTTCCAAATCTATGTATTCAGGATTCTGGAATTGGGTTTAAGGTCTATATTCTTAAACAAGTGCTTCAGTGCCTCTGATATAGGTGGCTCATGGATCACTGTTTGAAAACACTGCCTTACTCTCTTTACCGATATTCATTATAACTTACAGATTCTTACTAGGTAGCTTCTTGTGTGTGCTGTGAGAATATGAGACCAACCTGTAGAAACTGGAATGACATTAAATGAACCAAGTTTCTAGTTTAACTTTTTCACAACCACTTCTTATTACTGAAAAACCACTTGTGTCTTACTTCATTTGTTAGATGCTGTTCCCAAAACTGCTAATACACTACCTTCTAAAGAAGCTGTAACAGTTCAACAAAAACAGATGCCTTTCTATGACAAAGACAGGACATTGATGACACCTCTGCAAAATCTTGAACAAAGCTATATGCCACCTGACTCCTCAAGTCCAGAAAATAAAAGTTTAGAAGTTAGTGGTACACGTAAGTAACATTTTCAGTACTTTCTACTAGTGGATTTGTCATTAAGACTAGCAGTGCTTTAAAAGAAAGCTTTTGTTCTTTTGTTTGTGCAGCAATCACAGGCACACTGGCAATAGCTCTTTTGTGAGTTTTTTCCTCCTGATATATTAAGAACCATCTTCTTTGTGTTAATCAGTGATTAGAGGCAATAGGACATGCAAACAACCAGAGAAGCTATGAAAAAAAAATAAGTAAATATTTACATAACTTGGAAGGGTCACTTTTTAAAATAAAATATGTGAGTAGAGTTTTGCGTAGGTAGACTAGACCCACTCAAATGTGTGACTAGAATTTTGGGTGGGTGACTACAGTGTTCAGAGGGTAGGATCACCAAACAGAATTCTCAAGAAAAACTTATAATTTGTATTTTAGAAATGGTTTTATATTCTCCCGTCTTGTCTAATTCAAAATCATAAATATTTACATACATGTGAAATCTTCAAATGAGAAAATATTAGAATTATTAAAACGAATTTTTAAAATTTAAGCATGTTTTTCTTATTTTGACATTATAGGTTTTCACAGTTTTTCATTTTATGAATTGAAGAATGTCACAAATAACTTTGATGAACGACCCATTTCTGTCGGTGGTAATAAAATGGGAGAGGGAGGATTTGGAGTTGTATATAAAGGCTACGTAAATAACGCAACTGTGGCAGTAAAGAAGCTTGCAGCAGTAAGTTATATTTTCAGGAATAAAGAGTTGCTTCATAGTGTGCTCTATAATAAAGTTAATCTTTAGGAAATACATTATTTCAGTATGTATTTTCTTTAAATAAACATCATTCTACATAGTAGTTCTTAAAATTTAAAAATCTGTTGAATGCTATGGACCCTACCCCTAGAAAAATGTAGTTATGTACATATACACACAATCATACATATAATTTTGGAAGATTCACAAACTAAAGTTGAGAAGCCCTGCTCCACATAGTGCCTCATGTGTAATCAAGATTAAAATGGTAAGATACCAGGAAAACTATTTAAAAAAAAAAAACATGTTTGCATTACTTTTCCCATTTAAAAATAAAGTTTATGAAGTATACATTAAGAAAAAACATTAAAATTTTTTTTATCCGTGTCCTTTGTTGCCATTTCTACTGGAGTGTTCACCTTTTACTTATTGACTAGTTATATTCTAAACCTTTTGTTAGAGCCTAAAAATATCAATAGAATGCATATGTATGTGATAAAGATAGTAACTCTTTGTCATATACATTGCAGGGCTTTTGTAGGTTTTATTTTCCATTTTGCACTAAAATTGCATATGTTTTCTGTTTCCTAGAATATTTTTTCAAATTTTTTGTGTAGTGAAATTTCATGCTATTTCATTTTGTTTCCACAACTCAGTGAAATTTATATATATTTTTCATTCCACTAACCAGCCATGGACCTTGAGCAAATCGCTAGTATTTCTAGATCTCAGTTGTTCTGTAGAATTGGGAGAATAATACCTTATTGTTTTAAAGAAAGGGAGATGAGTCAGCTGATCTCTTGATCCCTCTGAGCATTAGGAACCTTAGAATTGTGCAGTATTACACTGTATATTTTATTTTTTCAGATGGTTGACATTACTACTGAAGAACTGAAACAGCAGTTTGATCAAGAAATAAAAGTAATGGCAAAGTAAGTCTTAATTTGGCAGTGCGGTGTAGTGGAAAGGAAAAGGACAAGGAGTAAGGAACCTGGTTCACTCTAGAGTATGCCATGAACTAGTGATGTTTGCACATATATGAAATTAAAATTAAGTGTTTAGAGAAATTGAAAGTACTTTTGGCTCCATAATTCTATGATTACATATACTCATATGCCTGGAGATTAAATAGCAGTCATTTTTTTTTATTTATTTATTTTGAGATGGAGTCTCACTGTGTCACCCAAGCTGGAGTGCAGTGGCACCATCTCGGCTCACTGCAACCTCTGCCTCCCAGGTTCAAGCGATTCTCCTGCCTCAGCCTCCCGAGTAGCTGGGACTACAGGTGTGTGCCATCATGCCTGGCTAATTTTTCTTGTATTTTTAGTAGAGGCGGGGTTTCACCATGTTAGCCAGGATGGTCTTGATCTCGACCTCATGATCTGCCTGCCTCAGCCTCCCCAAGTGCTGGGATTACAGGCAGGAGCCACTGCGCTTGACCACAGTCATTATTTTAAGTCACAACAAGGTTACGTGGAATTTTACTATCATGTCCTTCATTATCATGTTTTCTACTTCCAGAATTCATGAGAGATCAATTGTAGAGATACTTAAAAAAACTATCTACAGAATATATAAAGTAGCATCTATACAGCAACTAGAGTCATGTTATCTGCAAAGATAAGCATTTACTCTCTGTGCTGTTATCTGAAGGCAGATGTACTTTAAATAAACATCATTCTACATAGTAGTTCTTAAAATTTAAAAATCTGTTGAATGCTATGGACCCTACCCCTAGAAAAATGTAGTTATATACATATACACACAATCATACATACAATTTTGGGAGATTCACAAACTAAAGTTGAGAAGCCCTGCTCCACATAGTATCCACATATATATCTGAAGATATATATATACTTTATATATAAAGTAGCACCTATAAAGCAACTAGTCATGTTATCTGCCTTCTCAGCATTGACCCTGTGTGCTGGAAAATTGTTGGACATCATCAGGAAAAGTAGGAGGGACAACGAAGGAAATGTATTCTAATTATTATAGTAATTAATAGTGGTTGATATTTGAGTGTGTACAACATTCCAGACATTGTGCTATGTACCTTATGTGCATTGTCTATCTAACCTTTACAACTGTTACAACTGCCCATTTTGTTTGTTAACTGAGATTTAGAAACGTTAAATAGCTTGTCCAAGATCACGTAGCCAGTAAGTGTCTGAGATGGGATTGAAATCCAGATCTGTTTGATTGCAGAGCCTGAACTTTTGATCTGAATCCTAATGGGATTTACCAAATTATACCCATTAAACCCACTGCTGTAAATCACCAATCATAGTTACTTAACCTCAAGTAGGAAGAATAGACTAGAATTGACTTATGCACGGTAAAAATGATACACACTGAAAAAAAATCAAATTTTTGGTTTTTAGGATTTGTTTTCTCCACTTCTACCCCTACTCTGCAGTTCTAAAAGTAACTTGTTCACAGTAGATAATCTGGAAAATGCAGGAAAATATTTTTAAAATATACAAAACCATATGCATGCAGGGCTTAATACCTAGGTGATGGGTTGATAGGTGCAGCAAACCACCGTGGCACATGTTTACATATGTAACAAACCTGCACGTTCTGTACATGTGTCCCGGAACTTAATAATACAAACCATCTCTCAAATACATCACTCAGAGATAACCACTGCTAATATTTTTATATACTTGCTTCATGATGTGTGTGTAGCATTTCCCCATGTCATTAAAAATAATTTGAAAACATTTTAAATTATTGTACAACATTCTAGAATATGTGAGAATCATATTTTATTTAACCATAGCTATGTTTGTTTCTAATTTTCAGTATTAAAAATAAAGCTTCTTTAAAGTTCTTTGCACATAAATCTTTAAATGCAGTTATACTTACTTTATCATCTAGGGTAAAGTCCTAGAAAAAGAATTACTGGGTCGGAATGCATGAACTTTTTAAAGACTTTCTAAATACACATTCAAACATTCAAATGGCTTTTGAGATAGGTTTCAGTAATTTATATTACTACCAGCGCTGGGCGTGGTGGCTCACGCCTGTAATCCCAGCACTTTGGGAGGCCGAGGCAGGCGGATCACGAGGTCACCAGATCGAGACCATCCTGGCTAACACGGTGAAACCCCGTCTCTACTAAAAATACAAAAAACTAGCCAGGGGAGGTGGCGGGCGCCTGTAGTCCCAGGTATTCGGGAGGCTGAGGCAGGAGAATGGCGTGAACCTGGGAAGCAGAGGTTGCAGTGAGCCGGCTCATGCCACTGCACTCCAGCCTGGGCGACAAAGCGAGACTCCGTCTCAAAATAAATAAATAAATAAATAAATTTATATTACTACCAGCAGTGCATTACAATTTCAAACTTTACTGGTTCCTTATCTTCATTTAATATCATTCCTTTTTTTTTTTTTTTTTTTGAGATGGAGTCTCGCTCTGTAGCCCAGGCTGGAATGCAGTGGCGCAATCTCGGCTCACTGCAAGCTCGCTCTCCCGGGTTCACACCATTCTCCTGCCTCAGCCTCCTGAGTAGCTGGGACTACAGGCACTCGCCACCACACCCAGCTAATTTCGTTTTGTATTTTTAGTAGAAACGGCGTTTCACCATGTTAGCCAGGATGGTGTTGATCTCCTGACCTCGTGATCCACCTACTTCGGCCTCCCAAAGTGCTGGGATTACAGGCGTGAGCCACCACGCCCAGCTTATTATTACTATTATTTAGTAAGTGCCAATCTCTGGACCTTACTAGCAGAATGATCTTGGCCAAGTTTCTTAACTTTCTATTCGTTAATTTTCTCATCTATAAAACAGGATAATAGTACTTAAGTTATTGTGAGGATTAAATAAAGCAGGTAAATCACTTGCCACAATGCCTCATATATAGTATAAACTCAGCAAATGTTAATTACTCATGTTTAAAATATGCCAATTTGGTGGAAAATGGAACACTTATTGCTTTAATTTGCGCTTCTTAAAATATTTATGAGAATAGAAGAAGTCATATTTGATATAATGAACTGCTAGAATTGTGGATAGTTTTGAATGAACAAAATGAATAAGCACTTAAATAATAAAACACTTATCATGTGCCAGATATATTTCTAGGCTGTCATGTTTACATTTTCTCATTTAATTGTCTCAGCATCCGTATTACATTATTATGTACTATTTTCTGCATTTAGCTGATAAAGGAGCTGAGGCTCAGTAAGGCTGTTAACTTGCCATAGGTCACCTATCCAGGAGGGGGCAGAGCGAGACTTTAAATTTAGGATGTATAACTCTGAGCCCTGTGTTCTTTCATCTTACCACAGATGCCTGCCGCTTTATTATATCGTAGGTCTCTTTAGTTTTATTATTCTCAAGTATATAAAGACACTCAAATTAGGTTATAAATAATCCAGTGTGATTAAAGATCAAAAACATGTAAATTAGATGTGATTCAAGATCATGTCTGTAAATCAGTGCTTTGAGTTTGTTAGAAAATTCTTGACAGTATTAGCATAAAAATACAATGGACATCTTGAAATCTTATTTGTGCCATCATTGAATATTGGGCTAAAGAAATTGAACTTCAGCCTAGTCCTTAACCAAACTTATCACAAGTTCCAATAATCTGAATTATTTAGCTTTTACTATAAAATAGAAAGGTTTGGCCAGGTGTAGTGGCTCATGCCTGTAATCCCAATACTTTGGGAGGCCAAGGTGGTAGGATTGCTTGAGGCCAGCGGTTTGAGACCAGCCTGGGAAACACACAGTGAGACTTCATCTCTACAAAAAAGTTTAAAAAGTACCTGAGTGTGGTATGTACCAGTAGTCCAAGCTACTTGGGAGGATGAGGCAGAAGGATTACTTGAGTCCAGATGGTCGAGGCCACAGTGAGCTATGATTGCACCACTGCACTGCAGCCTGGGCAACAGAGTTAGACCCTGTCTCAAAAAAAAAAAAAAAGAAAAGAAAATAGATTTTACTTCTTTTTTTTGTTGTTGTTCTCAGGGGTGTACCCACCGTGTGAAGGTTGTGGGGGTGTTGGTCGCTGCACCTAGTGGGGGATTCTCCCAGTTAGACTACTCAGGGGTGTTCAGGGACCCACTTGAGCAGCGTCTGTTCTCTTCTCAGATCTCCAAACCTCCGTGTTGGGAAAGATCCACTGCTCTCTTCAAGCTGTCAGACAGGGTCATTTCATCTGCAGAGCTTTCGCTACTTTTTGTTTAGCTGTGCGCTGTCCCCAGAGATGGAGTCTACAGAAAGAGACGGGCAAGGCCCTCCTTGAGCCTGCTGTGGGTTCCACCCAGTTCGAGCTTCCCAGCCGGCTTGTTTACCTAACTTAAGCCTCAAGCAATGGTGGGGGCCGCCCCTAGTCCCCCAAAACTCGTGCAATTAGATCTCGACTGCTGTGCTAGCAATGAGAGGGAAGGTCCGTGGGTGTGGGACCTCACCAGCCAGGTGTGGGATATATCTCCTGGGTGTTTGCCATTGCTAAGACCCTTGGTAACGCACTCGTAATTAGGGTGGGAGTTTGCC